GTATTTGTTTCTTTCTTTCTTTTGCTTGCAAAGATTTAGTTGGCTCTTTTATAATTTCTTAAGGTAGAACTTTAGGTTATCAATTTGAGATGTTTCTTTTTAAATATGTGTTTACAGCTCTAATTTTGTAAGAACTGCTTTCACTGCCTTTCATAAGTTTTGATATTTTTTTTTTTTTTGGTGAGACAGGGTCATGCTCTGTCATCCAGGCTAGAATGTATCGGTGCCATCACAAGTCACTGCAGCCTCAACCTTGATTCTCCTGAGGTCAAACCATCTTCCCAACTCAGCCTCCTGAGTAGGTGGGACCACAGGTGCATTCCCCAATGCCTGGCTAATTTTTTAAAAAATTATTTGTGAGACACAGGGTCTTGCCATTTTGCTCAGGCTGGTCTCCAACTCCTGGGCTCAAGCAGCCCTCCCACCATGGCCTCCCAAAGTGCTGGGATTACAGGCATTAGCCACTGTGCCTGGCCTTAATTTTAATGATCTCAAAGTATTTTCTAATTTTCCTTGTGGTTTCTTCCTTGACTCTTTGGTTATTTAGCAGTGTATTGTTTGATTTCCACAGACTTTTGCATTTCTTAAATTTCTATCTGTTACTGATTTCTATTTTTTATCCCTGTGTTTAGGGAACATATTTTGTATTATTCCAGTCTTTTAAAATTTTAAGACTTATTTTCTAGCCTAACACCTGGTCTCTTCTAGAGAATGTTTCATGTGTATTTGAGAATAATATGTTTTCTGCTTTTTAAATGGAGAATTCTATAAATGTCTGTTAGGTCTAATTAGTTTATTAGTGTTGTTTAAATCTTTTGTTTTCTTTCGGATTCTCTGTCTTTCATTACATCCTGTACTGAAAATGGACTTTTGAAGTTTCCAACTATTACTGTTGAGCTGTCTAATTCTCCCTTTGTTTCTTTTAATTTTTGTTTCATGTATTCTGGGGCTTTATTTTGAGATATATATGTGTATAATTGTTATATCTTCTTGATAAATTGACCTTTTTATACTTATATTCTTTGTCTCTAATAATAATTTTTGTCTTAAATACCATTTTTTTCTGATGGTAATATACCCAGTCAAGCTCTCTGTTTGTTACTGTTTGCATTGTATATGTTTTTCCATGCTTTCAGCCTATCTGTGTCTTTTAATTTAAGTGTATTTCTTATATACTACATATAACTGAATCAGGAAGCAATCCATTTAGACAATTTCTGTGCTTATATTGGAATGTTGAATCCATTTATGTTTAATGCAGTTTCGATAGGGTAAAATTTATGCCAGCCATTTTGCTTTTTGTTTTCTGTATGCAGTGTCATTTTGAATTTTCTATTACTCCATTACTGACTTGGTGTTAGATATATATTTTCTAGTGTACTGTTTTATTTCCCTTATCCTTTCTTTTTACTATGTTTTGTTATTTTCTTAGGGGTTACTTGGGGGCTTACTACTAACAGTTTACAAGTTTAGTTTGGATTAGTACCAGTCTAATTTCACTAGTATACAAAAACTTTGCTTCTGTATGACTCCATTCCCTCCTTCCTCCTTTGTGCTGTTATTGTCATACAAAGTACATCTTGGCTGGGCACAGTGGCTTACACCTGTAATCCCAGCACTTTGGGAGGCCAAGGAGGACAGCTCACTTGAGGTTAGGAGTTCAAGACCAGTCTGACCAACATGGTAAAACCCCATCTCTACTAAAAAAATAACAAAAATTAGCTGGACTTGGTGGTGTGTGCCTGTAATACCAGCTACTTGGGAGGCTGTGACAGGAGAGTTGCTTAAACCCAGGAGGTGGAGGTTGCAGTGAGCCGAGAAAAAAAAAGTACATCTTTATACATTCTGTTCACTTCAACACAGATTTATAATTATTGCCTTTTACAGTTATCTGCACTTGTTATAGTTTTGTTTTTAATTTTTATTTTTTAATTTAAAAATAGATTTAGAGGGAACAAGTACAGTTTTATTACGTGGATATATTGCATACTGGTGAAATCTAGGCTTTTAGTATAAGCATCACCCGAATAGTTACATTTTACCCATTAGGTAATTTCTCATCCCTCACCCCCGCTTAACCTCCCACCTTTCCAAGTCTCTGGTGTCTATTATTGTAAGGTTGATTCTTTTGCGAGGTTTATTGCTGAGTTAAAAATGAGGAAACTGAGGCCAGCACAAAAAGGTTAAATGCCAATTTATTAGCCTCCCAGGTGAGGTTCTGTGGTCCCAAGGAAAGAGGCCAGAGAAGTCACCCCCGACTCCTCTGGGCGTGGGGTTTTATAGGGAGTGAAGGCGTTCGATTGGCTGTGGAGAAACAGGACAAGCTGCTATAGGTAGGTAGGCTGGATTTTCAGATGGGACAATGTGCTATTTGGCAGGTTTTGGCGGGGCTTTACAAGGGTGGGCTAGGTGCCGAGTGCGGAGGGGATTTCCAAGGCAGAGCTAGATGATGGGCATATTCTGGTGATGTAATTTTCAGGCGGGGAGAGGGATGGGCATGTCCAAGCTCCTGGCAAGGTAACCAGCCTTACAATTATTGCATTCTGTTTGTCCATGTGTACATATTACTTAGCTCCATATTCTCTCGTAAATGAGAATATATAGTATTGGACTTTGTGTTTCTGAATTATTTCACTTAGGATAATGGCCTCCAAGTCTATCCATGTTGCTGTAGAGGACATACTTTCATTTTCTTATGTGGCTCAGTAGTATTTTATGGTACATATATACTGCATTTTTTTAATCCAACCATCTGTTGATAGATAGATTGGTTCCATATCTTTCTATTTTAATAGTGCTTTGATACAGTGATTTCCTTTGGGTAGATACACAGTATTGGGATTGCTGGATTGAATGGTAGTTCTATTTCTATTTTTAGTTCTTAGAGAAATCTCCATACTGTTTTCCATAGAGGTTGTACTAATTTACACTTGTTTTCCTTTTCTCTCCATATTTGCCAACATCTGTCATTTTTTGACTTTTTAATAATAGCTGTTCTGAGTGTTGTAAGATGGTATCTCATTGTCATTTTAATTTGCATTTCTCTGGTGATTAGTGATGTTGAGCACTTTTTCATATGTTTGTTGGCCGTTTGTATGTCTTTTGAAAAATGCCTGTTCATGTAGTTTGCTCACTTTTTAATGGGGTTATGTTTTTCTTCTTTTTGAGTTGTTTTGAGTTTTTTGTAGATCCTGGATGTTAGTCCTTTGTTGGATGTTCGTTTTTTTTTTAAACTTCTTTTTACTTTCTGTTCCTTAGATTGGATAATCTCAGTTGATCTATCATCAAGCTCACTGATTCTTCTGCCTGTTCAAATATGATGTTGAACCCCTCTAATGAATTTGCTATTTCAATTATTTTATTTTTTAACTCTAGAATTTTTATTTGGTCTCTTTTTATAATTTCTGTTTCTTTCTTGATGGCTGCTTGATGAAACACCACTGCCATTCTTTAATCATTTAGACATGGCTTCCTTTAGTTTTTCAAATGTATTTAAAATAGATTATTTAAAGTCCAACACTGGGAGTTCCTTAGGAACAGTTTCTATTGATTGCTTTTTCTTTTCTTGTGTATGGGCCATATTTTCCTGTTTCTTTGTAAGTGTCATAATACTCTTTTGAAAACTTTATGTTTTAAATAATATAATGTGGCAACTCTGGAAATCTGAGTCTCCTTTTTTCCGTTTTTGTTGTTGTTGTTGTTGCTGCTCATTGTAGTAGCTTCTGTTAGTTTATTTAGTAACTTTCCTGAACTAACTCTGTAAAGTCTATATGTTTTTGTTTTTGTTTTTGAGATGGAGTTTTGCTCTTGTTTCCCAGGCTGGAGTGCAGTGGTGTGATCTCGGCTCACCACAACCTCTGCCTCCTGGGTTCAAGCAATTCTCTTCCCTCAGCCTCCTGAGTAGCTGAGATTACAGGCATGTGCCACCATGTCTGGCTAATTTTGTATTTTTAGTAGAGACAGGGTTTCTCCATTTTGGTCAGGCTGGTCTTGAACTCCCAACCTTAGGTGATCTGCCTGCTTCGGCCTCCCAAAGTGCCGGGAATACAGGTGTGAGCCACCGTGCCTGGTCAAGTATGTATTCTTTGTCATATATCTTCACCGATTCTGTACTAGAATAGCTTAGTGGTCAGCTAATAATTGGACAGAGATTTCCTCAAATACCTGGAATAATTAAGTCTCAAGGGACTCTGTGTATGTGTTTGGGCATGTGTCAGTTTATAACTGCCTTAGTCTTCATTTTCTGATTGTGCAGAATCTTAATGTCAGCCCAGTGTGAGGGCCTAGGGCTATCTCAGGGCACTCCAGTTTCTTTTCTGGGCATTCACACAACCTTGAGTAGATGCACCATGGCCTTCTGGATTGTCAGAAATATACAGAGTTTTTAATACCTGTGGGTATCTTATTCCCCAGATTTTCCTTTTAAGCTTTTGGGTTAATATATTATTTGCTCCACCTATTGTCCACTTTCTCAGGTAGTCACAAAATTAAACAATTGCCTTCAGTTGTTTTGATAGACACACCTCTGTGGAAAATACTTTTCAGTAACCTGTGTGTCAGGTCAAATAAATGTAACCTTGCAAGTGGAACCTGTTACCCATGTCAAATAATAAGACTTTGAAGGGACTCCAACCCTGATTTGTCCTCTTCTGTTGCTGCCAGGCTGTTGGTTTTCAAGACTACTGTAGAGATGGGATAGGGTTAGGTGGCGGGGAATGGGAATAGGGTAAGTTAAAATACCACAGAATTTCTGTTCTTGGATATTTAACCATTTTTCTTTAACAAATGTTCTCCAGATTGTGGCAACTCTTTGGTTAAATTTCTAGATTTCTGAAAAAAATTGATTTGAACAATTTTTGCCATTTAAAAATTGCATTTGTGAAAGAAGGGATTTTTGGAAGTTCTTTCTTTGCTGTTTTCACTTATATCACACTCTCATGTTTATTCTTAAATGATTTTGTTTCCGTAAATTGAATTTAATGTTGGCATTTTTTTTCCAGCACGTTGGAGATATATTTCCACAGCATCTGGCTTTTCTTGTTCCTGTTCTGAAGTCAGTAAATGTAACTGCTATCTTCATGAGGTAATTTATTGCCTTAAAGGATTTTCCCATTATCCTTAGATTTCTATGGTGTCACTGAGTTCAGTGCTCCTGCCTGAGGTATGTTGGCTTCTTCTATCTGTGGCATGATGTCTTTCATAAGTCTGGAAAATTCGCTGCCATTTTCTTCAGATATTGCCTCTGTATCATCTCTGTTCTTTCTTTCTGGGACTCTGATTAAATTTGTGTTAGATTTCTCACCATGTGTTCTCATGCTCTCTCTCTTTTGTATTTCTAGATTTTGGCCTCTCTACTTAATACTTTGAATATTTTACTTTGACCTAGTTTCCAATTCACTAATTCTTTCTTCAGCAGCACCCAATCTGCTTTAAAACCCATTTATTACTTTTACAATTTTCAGTTTTAGATTTTAAAAAATTAAAACTGTTACTTTACATAGCTTCTAATCTCTTATTTTTGTTTTTGACTATAGCAAGTGTAGTTTGAAAATTTTAGTCAAACATGTAACATAAAATTTGCCATTTTATTTTATTTTTATTTAATTGTTTTTTGTTTTTTGTTTTTTTTTTTTTGCAATGAAGTCTTCCTCTGTCACCCAGGCTGGAATGCAGTGGCGCAATCTTGGCTTACTGCAACTTCTGCCTCCTGGGTTCAAGTGATTCTTCAAGTAGCTCAGCCTCCCAAGTAGCTGGGACTACAGGTGTATGCCACCACCCCTGGCTAATTTTTGTATTTTTAGTAAAGATGGGGTTTCACCATTTTGGCCAGGTTGGTGTCGAACTCCTGACCTTGTGACCCGCCTGCTTTGGCCTCCCAAAGTGCTGGGATTACAGGTGTGAGCCACTGCGCCTGGCCTGCCATTTTAAATAGTACGTTTTATGTGTACAATTCTGTGACATTAGGTTCATTCATGTTGTTGTGTAACTATCCATCTCCAGTACTCTTTATCTTGTAAAACTGAAACTCTTTACCTGTTAAACAATAACTCCCTTTCCCAAACCCCTGGCAACCAGCATTCTACTTTCTGTTTTTATGAATTTGACTGCTATAGATACCTCATACAAGTGGAGTAATAAATATTTTTCCTTTTGTGACTGGCTTATTTAATGTAGCATAATATCTTCAGAGTTTATTCCTGTTGTAGCATGTGTTGGAATTTCTTACCTTTTTAAGGCTGAATAATATTCCATTGTATTGTATACTATATTTTGTTTATTCATTCTTTGATGGACACTTGGGTTGTATCTATCTTTTGGCTGTAGTGAATAATGTTGCCATGAACATGGGTATACAAATATTTGAGTCCCTTGCTTTGAATTCATTTGTGCATATACCCAGAAATGGAATTACTAGATCATATGTTAATACTTTTCTTAACTTTTTGAGGAGTGACTGTATTGTTTTCATAGGAGCTCCAGCATTTTACATTTCTACCAGCAATGCCCAAGGGTTCCAGCTTCTCCACATCCTAACCAACACTTATTATCTTGATAATAGCCATTCTAATGGGTATGAGATTATATCTCTTTGTGGTTTTGATTTGCTTTTCTTTAATGATTAGTAATGTTGACCATTTTTTCATGTGCTTATTGCCCATTAGTATGTGTTCTTGAGACAAATTTCTATTCAGGTCATTTGCCAGATTTTTAACTGGGTTGTTTGGATTTTTGTTGTTAAAGTAGTCTGTATTGGGTAATTCCAACTTCTTGTCTTTGTACATATGCTTTTGTTTTCTGTGATTTCTACCGTTTCTTCCTCAATGTGTCACTAATTTCTTTTAGGGTGCTAGACATTTGTGTTTGCAGAATATTTTTGAGGAATAATTTGAAACCTGGGATGATTATTGTTTTTAGAGAGGTTTTCATCAGATATTGCTATGGTTCTTTTTTTTTTTTTTTTTTTTTTTCGAGACAGAGTCTTGCTTTGTTGCCAGGCCAGAGTGCAGTGGCGTGATCTTGGCTCACTGCAACCTCTGCCTCCCGGGTTGAAGCAATTCCCCTGCCTCAGCCTCCTGAGTAGCTGGGTCTACAGGCACATGCCATCATGCCCAGCTAATTTTTTATATTTTAATAGAGATGATGTTTCACCATGTTGGCCAGGATGGTCTCATGATCCACCCTTTTCAGCCTCCCAAAGTGTGGGGATTACAGGCATGAGACACCGTGCCCTGCCGGTTCTTTAGTCTTAAAGGAGCCAACTTAATCCAGTGTAGTCTTAAGGACAACCGGATGAGTAGAACAAAGGCTCAGTGCTTGGGAGGGCTGACTTGCTTCTGAGGACTTATTCTCTACCTTAAGGGGTTAGCCCTTTGTGGTTCCAGCACAAATTGAGGGCTGGTACCTCAGTATCTGATTCATGCTTTTACTCTGTATCTCTTGCCCCAATTTTTCGATATTTTGGGTAACTTTCGCGTCTGTAACAGTCCCACAAATTTCAGGGCCTTACATGGTAAAATTTACTTCTTGCTCATGTAACAGTTCACTGTGGATGCTCCTCATCAGTGATCAGCTTTCCTCTGTGTGGTGATTCGGCCCAGTTTCTCACATGCCATCTGCTACGGAGGTGGCATCCTCATCCTCTAGGCCCAGCTTCCCGTCAGTCCAACTGGCAGATGGGGGAGCACACATGCAGAAGGCACACGTGCTTCTCAGCCATATTGGCCCACAAGTGACAAGGACCATGATCTGTATCTCTTCATGCTTTCCACCAGCAAGATCTAGTTACAGGGTTCTATCTAGATGGAGGTGAGAAATCTGCATTGTGTTGTTTCTGGTTGACAATGCTTCCTAGTTTCAATGCTGTCCTGGGAAAGGGGAGCACAGTTCTTTATGGTTATATCTGTCTCAGTCCTTCACCTTGGCACACCCTTCTTTGACAGTTGTCATGTGCTCATCTCTCCAGGGACACAATCCAGAGTTGCCCTAGTTACTGTGTCTTGCACAGAGGATGAATTTCTAGCATTGTGTAGTTTTTATCAAATCCAGTTGTCACTTTTGTGGTTTGATGAGTGAACTGACACACAGCTTATCTGGTGTTCACACTGTATAATAGTGGAGCCAAATCAAGCCAATTGCAATTTTTAAAACTTCCATTTTGGAAGGAGATGAATGGAAGGTAAACATCAGTGCTTGGTCCACAGTAAGAGCAACATCCCATGGGCAAGTATTATGAAGGCATCTATCAATGTTTTCTAAGCAAAGGCCACTAGACACTCACCTGGGAACCATGGGATGTTGTGGTAAGAGGGTATTGGAAAGAACCTGTTACAGGATTTGGGCTTTTGTTAGGTGATTTGGGGGAGGGTTCAAGAAAGTGGGGTGCTATCAGTAAGTAGGGACAATTTTATATGAGTACCTCATTCAATCTTATCTATAAGGAGGATAGACTGGAGTGAGGTTAAAGTTATGATTGGTAAAGAAACAGTCACCACTTATGTCAGTGGGGAGAGAGATTTTGGCACAATCTTGTTTTTGTCTTCATTCATCATGGTCAGAGTATAGCGTGTCTGATTCTTTTACCTCCTATCCTAGGAGTGGGGGCAGAAGAAACTGGCCTGTTGTCCTCCAGGCCTCCTTGCTCCATCTGGCTAGGCCTTGGGAGTGCTATGGTTTGAATATTTGTCCTCCTCAAAACTCATGTTGAAGCTTAATCTCCAATATAGCAGTATTGAGAGGTGGGGCCTTTAAGATGTGATTGGATCTTAAGGGCTGTTCCCTTATGAGTGGATTTATCCATTTATGGGTTAATGGATTAAACTGTTAGGAGGGAAGTGGAATTGGTGGCTTTATAAGAAGAGGAAGAGATACCTGAGCTAGCATACTCAGCCCCTTTACCGTGTGATGCCCTGCCGCATCTCAGGACTCTACAGAGTCTCCACCAGCAAGAAGGCCCTCACTAGATTCTCCTCGTTGACCTTAGACTTCTCAGCTTCTATAACTGTAAGAAATCAATTCCTTTTCTTTATAAATTACTGGGTTTTGGGTTTTCTGTTATAAGAAACAGAAAATGGACTAAAATAGGGAGAACGTCTTCCTCAGGGGTTAGGGGCTGCGAGATCCCACAGCCTGCTTTCTGCTTGTGGAAATTTGGGTTATTTTGACAGTCATTGACTGTTTTAAGCTTATATGTCTTTGGCAATGCAGTTTCTCCCCAATTCTAGTAGCTTCTGATCTATTTACATCTGGTAGTTTTATGTGCCAGTAACTATAGCCAAAGTTCTTTTCTAGTTACAATCTTCTAGCCTACTTCATATCTTGGCTTTCTTATACGTGTGTTTCTCCCTACTCATGTTATCTTGATGCTTAACATAATACAATAGGCATGGGTGTGAGTGGGAGACACACCTGTAATCTCACCTATGTGTACAGTTTAGCCCTCTCTTCATTGTGAAGTCTTAATGCGTCTTTGCTCCTCAGAACATGTTCAGCCTCACATCTTACTCTTGGGGCGCAGAGGGATAGCTTTTCCTGGATTTTGAGGCCCATGTTTCTGGACTGCCTCTAGATACTTTCCTGTCTCTCTGAAGCCAGCCAATTTTTGCCTAGGCTCATGTCTTTTTGTGATGCTCAACTAAGCAAAATGAGTAACAGTCACCTAGACAGTTGGCATTTCCTTTTCTCTTCCCCTTGAGCTGGAGGCTGGGCGTGTACATGGTCTGCTTTCAGGTGATCAGGGGTAAACAGTTTCACCAAATGACATGCACTGTATAAAACAGGTCTTCTGATTACCAGCTTTTTGACAGAGGTTTTTATTATGATATCACCCTCTTCAAAGAACCCAATTCTATGTTAATTTATCTCCATTGAACTATGCATTTAATGATAGAGAATTTGAAAGAGGAAAATTTCTGATTAGACTCTTTGGGAATTATTTGACCCATTTTCTTCTTCCCTCTGCTTCTCCACTGTACAAATGAAGCTGTACATTTGTGGCAGTTTTCTAAGCAGCCATCACAAAGGCATAGTATGGCAGTCCATCTTTTTTATTTTTAACTCTATTAATATTGGAAAATCAAACCTTTT